CATTGAATTATTTGGAGAATTGCATGATCTAAGTTTAAGGACTGAACTTATAAATAATAAATGTTAGCCCCAGCTAGTACAGCTGCGTTCACCTTGCTGTAAAGCAATCTGCCACATCCAACTGGAGGACACAGGAAGATGTTCTGGTTTGGCGTACGGCTTCAGGTAGATCCTGGCACATGGCCCTGGGTGCCTGGGGGTGCATCTACCCAGTTCACAGACTGGAGTGGCTTCTTCCCTCTTTTCTCTTAGACTAGAGGAGCAGGGAATAAGTAACCAGAACATGCAGGTACCCTTTCTCTACTCCTCCTTCCTTCTCCTAATCTCCAGTTCTCACCACATCCTGAGGAAGAACAAGTAGCAGATGGGGAAATGTGGTTTCACAAGATCACCCAGCTCCCAGAGGCTGGAAGCAGCTTGCTGGGCAAGAGCTGAGCCGAGCCCTAGAGAGCTCAGCTGACAAATAGTTAGGCTTTGCTCTGGCTTCTTTATGTGGTGTCAAGAGAGTAGGTCTCTGAGACTGAAGTCCCTCCAGGTCCACCCCTCAGCCTTGGGACGGTGGTCCCAACAGATGCAGGGGGCGGGGATGGGAGCTCTGCTCCTGCTCCCAGCATGCTTCCACACTAGCACCTGCTCATTCTGCATGGCACTGCCTCTTGGGATTTTTTAATGACACACGAGACTCCTGGGTTATTCGGGGTTGTGGAGTGTGAGTGTAGGATTGCAGAGCCTGCTTTCCTGGTGAGGTCACTATTCCTTGAGTTATTACCTAGCTTTCCTTGGCCTGAGGAAGCAGCAGAAATGCCTTCATAGTGTTGTGTTTGTGAAATGTTGACTCTCTGCCTAGTTACGCCTGAGCAGGCCAACTTGCCACCTACCAGCCCTGCGTGTACTGGCTTTGTCACCTGCCCCTGAATGGAAGGAGTCCAATGAGGGAGGAGAGGCAGCGGCCAGCTGCCCTTCTCTGAGCTGGGGCATGCAGACAGGGCCTGTGGTCTCTCGGGCCAATGTGCGTTGTAAGTCTCATCTGAGGGCTGATTTTCTGGTAGGGAATGCAGGCAAGAGGCCAACGGCAGCGTTTGGCAGCAAGCAGACAGCTCCTGGGGAGAGTCATTTGAATTCAGGGGAATAGTTTCTGCCTTCCCTTTCTTGTTTGTGAGTGGAGGGCCACTGGTCTGTACTGACTAGCAGGGCATGTGGCCACCTTGGATTGCATGCACTGGCTCCTGTGAAATACCCAGGAGCAGGTACGATCCCTGGAGCTCAGCCAGTGGGAGCTGCTGCCTGTCAGCCGCTGAGGAGCCTGGCCCTCAGAGCCTGGTCTCTGGGCTCTGAAAACAGTTCTATTTTCAGTCTCTGACTAGCTCCTCAGCCCTCCCTCCTGTCTTGAGCTGCCTGAGTCACTCCTCTCCACATCCAACTCTGCCTCTTTCTGAATGGAGTGGGTAACCATAACACCATATGTCAGGGGAACAATTCACAATTTACCAAGCCTTTTATGCACCAACTCACTTCAGATCTTTCATCAGCCTGTGAGGTTGGCCATGAAGGTAATTCAATTCGTGTTCACAGTTGGGGCAAAACAGAGGTTCAAAGAAACTCAAGTAGCTTGACCAACCAATTCTGTCTGTCCCTGTCTCTGTCTGTCTCTGTCTCTTTGTTTCTCTCTCTCTGTCTCTCTCACTCTCATGCATGTGGGGCTCGGTTCCAGCATCACACTTCCTGCCCCTGAGTCTGGGGGCAAGACTGTCCAGCGGGGTTCATGGTTATAGGGTTGGCTAGTGGGGTTCTTCAAGACCACCCGTCAGGGCCATTTCCTACCTTCTTCATAGAAGACATGTGCTTCTGGTTGGATGAATTTTGAATGCAAGGAATTTATAATGCTCATGGGGGATAAATAGGGCTCTAGGCCAAGTGGGGGAAGTAGTTTGCAGTTTCCTGCTAGTTAAGCTCCCAATTCTTCCCTCTCTCAGTCTTCCACACCTCCTTTCACTCTACCTTCCACTCCTTAAGAAAACCTTGTCTCAGACTGAGGCTTGGCTCAGAGGTAGAGTACTTGCCTCGTATGTACTGAGCTCTTGATTCAATCTCCAGCACTGCAAAAGAAAATATGTATATATGAAACCCTCATGTCCATTCTACTTACTCTAAGCCTAAGCCTTGGAGCCGTACACATAAATAACGGATGGCAGTGGAAAGGGTAACACTGCCTTACCTTGGTCTACCTAACATTTATGTGGTTCAAACCAGCTTACAGGTCAGGAATGTTTGAATGCATTGCCTCTAGGAGGACATCTAAAGTTTTAACAGCTGGCAGAGCATGGGCAAATGACCAGTTAGGACGAAGATTGATTGCAATGCTGAGTGAGTCCTGGGACCCTGCCTTCCACTGTGCCAGGCATTACCCATAGGTGCTGGTCAATGGGGAGGTTAGCAAGAGTCCCAAGGGAGGGGCTGAGCAACCCGGGCCAACAGGGGGAGGGGAGAGTGGGCGTGTTTTCGGAGAATTCAGGGCATCAGCCATTACTACTCAGCAGAGAAGTGCTCCAGCATTTTTATACCTGTCCCATCATACAAGTGCCTATTTGGCAGTCTGATTAATTTTTTCTAGGACATTTGGAGAGAGATGCGACATTTTCACCTCGGCTACTGAGGAAACAGTCTTTCTAATGTTCCACGTGTCTCAAGCTCTCGTAGCCAGAGTTCAGAGCACAGGGCTCCCCACCTGAACGGAGTCCTGGGCGACCAGAGGACACTGTGAGGGCTCAGGTCCCATCAAGGCTCAGGGTATAGGGAAACCAGTAAGAAGAGAAAGAAGGGTGTGTGAGTGTGAGTGAGTGTGTGAGTGTGTGTGTGTGTGTGTGTGTGTATGCGTAGGTGGCAGGTAGAACAACACCGAGAACTGCCTATTCTCACTCATGGTTCTGCTATGTCCATTACCAGTCCTGAGGGACACGAAGAGGCTATTTCCGTAGTTTGTAATGTCTCTTGTCCTTTATTTGAATATTGTCACCTGGAGAACGTGGTCACCTTTGAAGTACTACTTGCAGCATTTGTGGTTTTAGAAAATGTTAGGTCTTGAAAGAGTCTTCCCCAGCCCCCGGCAAATACTCCATTGCCTGGCTGGGTAGAATCCCCAGCCCAGTGGAGTCTGACATGAGCAAAAGTCAGCTAACATTCTTCTCACTGAGGAAAACCTGGGACTCAGGCAGTTGAATACAAAACTCTATTTGCTTTTCTGTGGACAGAGGCCCCAAATGTTGGTCAGTATTTGCCTAGAGCTCTAGGTACCCCTGCGTAGTTGAGGCTGGGTAGGACCCAGATATCCTATCCTTCTGGAAAAGCAAGGCCCCCTTTTAGGTTGATGTTATGGTTGATACATTGTGTCAACTTGGGAAGTCTAGAGGTTTGGCTAAGTGACTCAGCAGGAAGCCAGGGTGCTTACTTTGTACACATCTGGAGCCTGTGGAAGAGAAGGGCAAAGATTATGTGAGAGCTACATGCCCCTTAGGTGGGGGTAGCCTGTTACAAAGTAAGGCAGGGAAAGAAGCTGCTTTCTGCAATTCCTCCGTTTTGCTCTGGCTGTTTGCTATTCGGCTGCCATTCCCCCTTGCTCTTGTTGCTTTGCTATCTTCTGCCTCGGAGCCAGCCAAGTATGGACTGAAACCTCCACAAACTGTAAGCTAAATAAACCTTTCCTTCCTTCATTTTGGATGTTGGGTATTTTGTCTCAGCAACGAGAGAAAAGTAACCAAGACAGTTGACAAGTAAGCCCCTGGTCTCTTGACGAAAGCGGGGTAGTTATGGCAACTCTGCCCCAAAATGGGGACTCAGCATTTGGGGTTCCAGGACTACCTAGGTCATGAGAAGTCTTGGTGGGGTGGTCAAAGGCCTATGATATGGGACAGTGTTACCCCTCAGCTTAGCTCCTCCACAGACTCAACAAGGGGACAGGAATGTGACTGACACAGGCCCAGGTATCCTCAGTGACGGTCCTGAGTGTCAGGAAGTCATTTCCCTACTTCCTTGTTTCCTCCCAACAAAGTGTTTTAATAGGTGAAAGTCTTGTCCCAGTCCAATAGGACAAAATAAAAGATAAATGTCCAGGCATGTGGCTTTGTCCCCAGAACAAGATCTCTTTCCCTAAGCATCATAATGATACATTTGACACAAACCTCCTGGAGAAGGCTGGCATTCTGATAAGAAGTTAAAAACAAAATGCAAATTGTAATCCTTCAGAGAGTCATCTTCGCCTGTGTTTTCCCTTACTTGTCCTCCGGTCTATGCCAATTTAGTGTCAGAGACAACATGTCACATGATTCCTTTTAAAATTGGGCTCTGGCTGGTGCTGCTTTTCCTACCCACTGCCCATCTGCCAGCTCTACAGGCAACCTCGGTGCTGGGTGGGGTGGGACAACTGCCAGAGAGTGTTCAAGTAAGAACTGAAATATTTGACTGGCCTTGGTCCTAACAGAGGCAACTTTATTACCCTAAATGTCCTGAAAACCCTGCTGCCTCTGGCACGAGAAGCTTCCAGGCTCAGTGATTCCATCTGTAGCGAGCCTTGGCGTCCTGCTGCGAGTGGCTGTGACGTGAGTCATGGGGGCAGCCTCCACGAGGCTGAACACTAGGCGGGCACCCGGGAGGATGTCTGCACCTTCCTTCATCGGGAGTGAGAGGCCGGTGAGCTGCGGATGGCCTCCTGGCTCTCTGAGGTTTGCAGTGCAGACAGAGGGGTCTCATCAGAAGGAAGGAGGGCGATCTCTAGGAGGGGAGGTAATCTCTAGGAGGATGACAGCCCGAGGCCTGTTAGCAGAGGCCCTGGGGGTAACTGCTGGGCCTCGCTTATAATATCAAAACCAGACATTGCCTTCGGCCGGAAAGAACATGCTGAATTCTTTCTTACCATTTCTCTCATTTCCAGGGGCAATGAGATCGAGACACACAATTCATTCCTTTCATGAAAATCTTCCTCTCATTCAAGGAAGGAGCCTCAGGCATACTTTCTTAGTGCTTTATTAATGTCACACACAAAACACACCTTAATTTTATTTGAATTAGGCAAATAAAATGTTTTGTACAAGGCAAACACTTCACCGTTTAAGTTAAAATAAATAAGTTGTTCCAGCCTGCGTAAAGCTCCAGTTGCCGCATACAAATAAAAGATATCAGTAATAAGTTAAATAAGTTAAAATAAATAGCTGTAGGAGACTCTGTGCGGTCCAGCCTGTTTGCTCCCTCGCGATACTCTGGACCCCGCCCTCTAACCTGTGGAAGATGCTGGACTGTTCACTTCATCTCGCACCTCGATGAAAAAGCACTTGATGTTCATCTCCAAATCTTTTCTGGACCATCAGGTGCTCAGAGTCTAAAAGAGTGATAAACACAAGATATCAGCAAGGTGAAAGCCTGGTGTACAGGCCCCTTGCACATCCCCGTGTCCTCTTACGGTTCACGTGGAGATGCAGAAACAGAAAACTTAGAGCGAGCAGAAGGTGAGACATGGCCACAGAGCAGCAGTCAGAAATGTCACTTGAGTCTGAGAACAAGAACGGTCAAACTCTACTGTATACCAAGAGATGGCAATTTCCAATACAATTGTAGGCTAAATCTTACCTTAATAAAAATGTCTAGTTTCACTATGTAGGTTGAATTAATTTAAAAGTCTTAATTAGAAAGCAAGCCTTCTGTGGGTAGAGTTCAGGCCACAGATGACAAATGTACAAGACATGTTTCACCAACCCCCTCTACAGACAGGCTTTACTCATCGATCGCTGCACTCTCCCACCTCAGATTTCTTCTCCACACAGCGCCTCTAGAGTTTGAGATGAGCATTCTTTACTAAATTAAGTCCTCTATGTTCTGAACTATTTGGTGTGAAGGAGTAGCTACAACACAGGCCCTGAAGCCTGAAGTCCATATAACTTAGTTGCCTTCAGACTAATCATTTAACCTCCTTAAATTGGTGTCAAAGTATGAAACTGGTATGGCTCCCTAACACAGAGCAGTTAGGAAGGTTAGACAGTTTATGCAAGGTGCCCAGCATCACACCTGGCACACAGTATACATTTAATAAATGATAGATATTATTAGCATTATTAATACAATCATTATAAGGCTACTGATGTTGACAATGAAATTGATAATAGCACTTCCACTGAAAGAAGGAAAGTATCACATATTAGGTTGAACCATTTGAAATGAATATTCAGTTGTTTTTGATCTACAGAAATGGCAATTTCTTCTGGTTCAATCTAATGAATTATGTATTTCATTCAAATCACTTACTTGATCCAACTGTATTAGATTCTTCCCTTCAAATGTTGCCCCTAGAGACGTGATCCCACCATTTATAAACTTCCTTGGACCAGGGTAAGCAGAGAAGGGAGTCTGCTAGACAGAAATTGAGGACCTGGTCACTAGTTCTACTAACTGGTCACGCAACCTACTAGTTCCTGGTCACCAGTTCTCCTACTAGAGACATAACCTTCAGATGCCTCATTTTTCGCATGTGTAAATTAGGGATAGCTATACTTTCTTCAACTAGGGTTTTGTGACGATAAGCAGAGCTAATGGATAGGAAATCACTTTCAAAAGTTAAAATTATTGTACAAAAGCAAGGTATTATTTGTTTCACTAGATTATGCTATGTCAGAAAACATTCACATTTAACTTTTAATGTTTTTCTACAGAAAAACTGCACATAAAGGAGTATAGAATTCATGCAATCATGCCAGATGATCATCAGAATTGATTTGATGATAACGTCAGGTAAATAGAACTAGTAAGTACAGAATGTTTTGTCCTCAAAAATTGTACCTCATCAAGGTGAAACAAGCATCAACTGGCAATAGAGAAAATCACTGGGTTTACGAGTGACTCAAATGTCAAGCTTTTACACCAGAAATCATACATTTTGGAAAAACTGACAAGGAAGACAGAGGAATTGTCTTCTTCTTTCCTTGGAGGTCTTTAAGATGGGCTGGGAAAGTTTGCTTTTAGTATAGCTTTGCCTAAAGATAGGGAAAAATAAATTTTGTGACCTCCCAAAGCGACTTTCAGACCAATGGCTTCAGCAATTCTAAGTAACACTTTTCTTTTGCCTTCCAGACACGTTCCTTTCCTGTGCCCTAAAGCAGGGTGACTAGGTGAGGGAGGATGATGCATTTGGGCCTGCTTCCAGGAGGGGTGACGAGGCTCAGTCCCTGTCTTCAGGTTTCTGTCTCCCCTGCCCTGTGAACCTTGGCCAATGCAAGGAACCTGGGGAGGGTGATCTTTAGTCAGCCTCAAAGGCGCTGTTGGTGGCTCCCACGTATTCTGATTTTTTCTTGTGCCTGGTCCACATTTTCCGGAGGATAGCTGGGACACCGCAGGAAGCACTGCCCGTCAGTGGGAGGGAGGCCTCCCCTCCCTGGGGAAGGGTGGGATACTCTTCGGCCATCTTCTTGAGATGTCTGGATCTAAAAAAAAGCCAGGGGTAGGTGGGGATGGTGGTCACTTCGCTGAGCCACACTTAGGTTTTGCCTTTGAAATGAGTAGGCAGAACTCTCTGTCCTCCTCTGCACCTCTGTCCTCTGATCAGCCTCTGCATAGCTGGAGGGTTACTGTGGGGAGTAACCTAGGGGAGCTATCTATGGAGTAAGGGGAAGTGATGGCTCCTGGGGCTTCCAGTCCTATTTCTGCCTTCCTTCCCTGGGTCTGGCCTTGCTCAGGCCTCTACTTTCTCACCACTCTCACTTCCAGGTGAGCAGTTTTGCCAGAAAGAGCAGACGCCCCAAAGAGCCAACCACTGAAAGAGCGAGAGCTCCGGTGTGGAACGCTGCTCTCAGCTTACTGAGTAACTTCAGGCAAGTGACGTAATCTTCAGCAGCCTGTTTCCTCCTGCATAGTGTGTAGATGCTTACATCTAATACCTTGGGCTTTGTGAAGAGGAAGATGAGAAAATAAAACATCTGGAGTAGTGCAGACCCTCCATAAATGTTCACTTATTCCCCCATGTGCTACGTTAAGGTGAAAAAAAATGATAGTATTTTCCTTTCAACACCCAGGATTCAGGAATAAACTGAACTCAGACAGAAAGAAGTCACTAAGAAGCCTCTGCAATGTGGCTGTCTGAACCTGAAAGATCAGCCTCCAGCAAGGCACCATGAAGTTTTGCTGATCTACACAAGGAGTCAGCTATTGGTATTTAAGAATAATTTGCTACTGGAACCTCAAAAAAGCCAAATGATTTTTTAAAAAGCCTTTTCTCCAATTAATCCCCAATATGTTGAATGACACATGGTTTGGTTTTTATGCTTCTTTCCAGGCGACCCTCTGTCATCCAGAAGTGCTGCACTGTGCTCTATTCTGCTCTGACTCCCACAGGGTTGGGTGTGCACCCCTTGCACTGATATTTGCTATCATTTGAATACGGCTTGTCTCTTCCAAACTCGTGTTGAAATATAATCCCTATTACCAGATATTAAGAGGTGGGGTCAGGTGGGACCTTTAAGAGGTACATAGGGCTCTGTGCTCATGAATGAATGAACTAGTCATGTGAATAATAGATTAATGAGTTAAATGGGCCATCTTGAGAATATATTGGTTATAAAAGATGTTCATCTAGGTCTCTCATATGCACCCTGTCCGTCACCATGTGACACCGTGTGCCTTAGGACTCTGCCTTTTTGCTGACACCACCAGATATAGCCCCCCAACCTTGGGCCAGAGCTGTCTGTGAGTCAAATAAACCTCTCCGTTATAACTCCCTGGTATTTTATGCTATTAGCAACAGAAAACGGACTAAGATGATATTTTAGCCTGTGGCTTTTCCTGTGTACACTGAACACTTTTTCAAGCACACAGCTTCCTCACTGCTGGGCTAAAGTCCCTGAAAAATGTTGACAATGGTTTAAGCTAAGCTTGCTACACGTGATATCACTCAGTTCTCACAAAAACCTCTCAAGGTGGGTACACTTCTCTTTCCTATTTTTCTATTTGTTTTAAAATGGATGAGAAGTCTGAGCTGGTGGCAGTGTCAGGACAGACAGCAGATGAGTCAAGAGTTCATGCCCTTTGCCATCTCCTGAACTGCTCGGCTGCATCTGTAGCGTGGTGGGCAGGAGAAGAGATCATAAAAGTTCATGTTGAGTTGCACATTACTACTCTCTTATTGACTGAGGCCGGGGAGGGTGTGTTGGGGAAACTCCCGCTGTCCTAGCTGCTGGTTCTGGGCCCAAATTACCACACATATTTGGGTTACAATTTGGTTTGACATGTTTATATTTTATACATTTCTTTGCCTATGGACAGGGATCCCTAAATGAATTCACAAGGCATTTCTGGCATTGCACAAATTGGAGGTTCTAATATGGCTCGTGATGTCATTCATCTAATAACTAAAAATCCTCCCAAATGACATTTTTCCAAGCCTAAAGAATGGCGTTAATGAAGTGGAAACCATGAAAAACAGTTCAGCTTAATCCTAGGGAAACAGTTGATGAGGCGCTACCCAGACCCGGAATTATGGCCCTCATTACAAGGTAATTTGCAGCTGGCATGGGTTTTGTTTTAGCATCCTGAGTCTGACAATCAGGCCACCTGTTGCTCTTTTGTGGCAGGGGCAGGACAGCACAGGGAAGCAGGCGGGTGTTGGATATAGACGGCACAGTACTTACCCTCTCCCCCGAACGGCTCCGTTCTCTGAGCCTGTGACTGCCGCCTCTACTGCGGCTGGAGCTTTCACTGAGATTCGGGCCACAGGAGGAATCTGTGTTAGGAGGAAGGGGAAAGGAACTCAGAATTGCCCACATTCCCTCCCCGGCACTGACTAGAGCCATTTGAAGGGGGGATGGCTGGAGCGTTCACCAAAAACCTGGGCCATAGACCTCACTTGTTAGCAGACATCAGCCCCCAGAGAAGTCTTGGGGGAACAGAGCTGGACCCCACCTAGTATCTTTTTTTCTGATACCAGGAATCAAACTCAGGATGTTCCACTTGCCAGACAGGTGCTTGCGCCACTGAGCTATATCCCCGGCCCCAGCTAGTGTGGGTCCTGAGCATCTGCATTCCTAGCAAGGTTCCACTCTGAGAACCTGGTTTAAAGACACTTGGGAGTGCCACTTGATCTCACGTGAGAATTGTGACCCTTCCATCCCTATCGTCTGTGTCTAATTGTTAAGTCCTGCTGATTCTTGCTTTCAACAGACTGCCCACACCAGTCCCAGCTTTTCCATTTGCGCCCTGTAGGACTCAAGGACCAGTCACCCCACACGTCTTGTTTCTCACCAGGCCTGCTACCTTTTCCATTTGCTCCTTGGACTCTAGACTCTTCAGGAGTCCTACAGCGGGAAGACCGAGGCCAACTATGCAGGCTGCTCCTCAAGATTCTGTAGCAGTGGAGGCCACGTTATTTCTGCAGCTCAGCTGTCTGTTACTCCTGTGTCGGCGGATCCCCTGCCGGGCCTGGGCCTGCCTTCCCTCGTGCTTACCCACAGCTCTGCACTTTCCCTTCCCTCCGGATGGAGGCTTCATCTCTTCCCGTCCTTCACAGCCACTTTCTCCAGGAAGCCTTCCCTGAGGCTGGTAGTCCAAGTTGGGGACCTTTCTCTATCTGTGTCCCCAGAGCACTGCGTGGCTGTGGTAGCCCCTCCCCCACTCTGTCTTTGTTCTTTACTTGCTTCATATATTTGTCCAGTCTCCTTGTTCCAGAAAGATTATGTGGTGAGTGGCAGAGTGTGGGACTTAACCCATTTAGCAGCCCTCCTCTGCCTTTCCAGAGGAGGTGCTAAGTATTCTGGGAGCAGGTATTGAATTGAAAATTAACTGATGGCTTAACCAGGGCTAAGTCCAGAGGTTACTCAGTCAGTGGATACATGTATGCTTTGTTCTTCTACCCCCATCAGAGGCTTCAATTCAACACATTCCTGAAATCACAAAAATTCCAGGTCAAGGGCACCATTATTCAGGAGCTCCTTCCTGGAGCCGGCCGAAGACCGTGGGCAGAGTTACTGTGCCACCTTGTGGCTTCTCCCAAGCACTCCCTTCCTCCTGGTGCCAATGGCCAGGTGAACAGCCACCAGGGCTCCCTAGCTCTGGAGGGGAGGCCCTTGTCCTCGCTCCTTTCCCTTCTTTCCTTAGTTCCGTCTCCAATTCATGTTAGCAATGAATCAGACTTAGGTGTGTGGGCTCTGGACGGCTTTCCTGTCCCAGGAAATTTTGATGCATTGCAGGACACAGTCTATTTCCAGGCCTAAAGAAAAACACCACCTCTTCCTCCTCTTCATTATTATTGTCTTCTCTTTGGAACCACATCCATACCACCCGTTTCCCCTGGACTCCTGCTGCAGCTGCCTCCCTCCCAAGGGCACTGTGAGCCTCACCTACAGGAGGCACGGGGGTGGGGGTTCGGAGGGTGCAGGTTCATCCAAGGCCGTGGGACACTCTCTTACCCTTAACCTTTACACTTGGTTTAGCCAGGACAGCTGTTTGAGCTGAGCTGTCATAGTCTGATGACCTTTCCTCCTTGTCAACTGCCTGGCCAGTCCAAGGTGCTCAAGTACAAGGTTGGGGGAGGGTCTGGTCTTCTTTGACAACAGCTTGTCCCATTCCACACTCTTTGCGTGGTTTTGCTAATATTCTACATGAGATCACTGGATTAGGTCTGCCCAGACCAGGAGGGAAGCCTTTCTCTCCAGTTTGTTCTGTAAGGATGAGGGGCTGGCCAAGACAACCTCTGGGGTCTTTTCTACATTTCACATCGCACCATCTAGGCATTTTGGCATCAGATACTAAAAGGGCTCAGGATGTCTGAGCTGACCTCATCTCTAACACTGCTGACCTTGCGAGGCCAGTGAGCCTAACATTCATGCCCAGAAGATGATGGAGAAGACAGATTTGGAGACGTGCCACCTAATCCATCTTCAAGGAAGGGCAAGCTGCCCAACTGTGGAGGCGGGTGGGCAGTGAAAGGCTGTTAGCTCCGTGAACTGTGCTTCAGGTGTGGAGGGCCCACCTTGCCCAAGGTCACATCCTGCCCCAGGCCACAAGCTGTGACGGAATGAGGAGGGAATGCAAAGCCATTTTGGCCCAGTTCAGATGGCCTGGATGGCCAGCTATCCCCCAGAGATCCCCACTAGGAGGTGTTGGGCGTGCATCATGGTTCAGCTGCCTGTCCCCCCAGTCTGGTCACGGGCATTGGGCCTTAATATACATTTTATACCCCAAACCTCAAATCCCAGAGACTGCTTTCAGAGAACCTGACCTGTCATAGAAGCTCCCAGAGGTGCCCCCATCCTGAGATGACTAATAGTAATGGATAGAATGCTTATGTGCTCCTCAAACACATGACTGGAAGGCCCAACCATCAATGTGATGGTATTGGGAGGTGGGGCCTCTGGGAGGTAATTAGGTTTAGTTGAAGTCAGGACAGTGGAGTGCCTGTGATGGGCCTTTTAAGAAGAAAAAGAGGTGTCAGACATATCTGTCTTCATGCATTCCCAGAGGAAAGGCCATGTGAATACACAGCAAAAAGTTAGCCAACTGCAAGCCAGCAAGAGAGCCCACGTAAGAAACTCAATCTACTTTGATCTTGGACTTCCCAGCTTCCAGAACCGTGAGATATGTTTCAGTCCCCTGGCCTATGTAATTTTTTTTTTGCATTTCAATAGTTTTATTGAAAGGTTTATTTCTCAGTACCAAACATAATGGTGGTTGGTTAGGTTACCTCTGCCAGCTCAAAGTTAATACTGATGTTTTCAAAATCTTGAAATGTATCAGCCTTTTGGTAAAACTGAAGTTATCCATAAAACATGGTTTAAAAAAAGTTAAAGGTAGAATGTACTATGGTTCTTTGCTTTACTTTTCAATGCTTATTTATCTGCATGATGTCAAAATTGGTTACATCTATTCTGGATAGACTCAGGCTTTAGGCCTCACTGAGTTACGCTACTGGCCTATGTAATTTTGCTACAGCCGCCTGAGCTACCTAAGATACCAGTGTTTTGTGTTTACATGGTGCCTGCAGACTTTACATCTCTTTACTCCAGAGCAGCACCAGGGAATTAGGCAATCTTGTCTGGCAGGTCCTATGCTAGAAACCGGTTCTTTTCCCCTTGAATGAAATGTCCCATTTCACAGCCTCTGTATGCCTCAAAGCTGAATTTCTGGCAAGAAAGAGAAGCAGCCAATGATGTGTCACAAAAGCACAAAGCAGGGTCGACTGATAGCTTTTAGGAGCAAAGAACCACAGTTAGGCTTTTCTAATAATCCTCAGACTGGTGCAAAGGATACCTGGCCTCTTTATGGCACTGGAGAAACAGAAATAGACAGAAGTTAAAAACACACCAGATAGAACTAATCAGACTTCTCTTACTTACCAACGATTTTCCATATGCTCGATTTCCACACAGATTTGATGTTTTGGATTCAGAAATCCCCACTGTGAAATTGAACAGAGGAGATACTACTCAGTGGTACTCTGAGTTCTGCCTCCTTCTGGTTGTGCATCAGCTGTCTTGCTTGCCAGTCAATCTCAGAAAGTAACCTCTCAAGGCCTTTGTACCAAGCAGCAAAGTCAAGCAGTACAGTCAGGCAGTCGTAACTACCAAGAGGGGTGACCTACATCCCATCCCTCTTCCAGGGGCTGGAACTAAGGTGTGCATGGGATCAGTGTGGCAACGCAGGTTCATAACTGTGTCAAAAGTATCACTCTGGAAGGGAATGTTGATAGGGAAGGCATCTGTGTAAGTGTGGAGGTGGGCGGGGAACATATGGGTAATCTGTGTACCTTCAGCCCAATTTCGCTGTAAACCTAAAACTGCTCTAAAAGTTGAGATCAATTTTAAAAGATCACACATGTGGATGCATTTAGCAATGCGGATACTCAGAGAAAGTCCCCTAAGTTCCTCCTTCCTAAGGCCCCAGGTCACAAGAGGTTAAAGAGGTTACCACGAGTTACCTCTTGGTAGTTGGGATCAATTGTATAAAACAATGCTCCTGGGTGCCCCTCTGGAAGTGAGCAGAGAAAGCGTCTGCTGTGGAAAGTGCAGGCCATTAGGTGGAAGGATTGAGCTCATCACATCAGAATCCCGAGACATTGGCTGTATTACACATGTGTATAAAGACTCTGCTTTCTAATGTCTTATTCCTGACACAACCTACGTCTGAGTAATTTCTATCCTAAAGCCTGCAGCTTCTAAGAATCCCGATTTTGAGATGAGGTAGCCAGGATTCAACATAATCTCTCTTGGGGCCCATGTTCCAGGACAAGCTTCACCTCATACACTGCAGTTTATGGAGTCCCCCACCCCTGGAAAGCATCTCAATGCTAATAAAATGAAAAAAGTATAAGTACTGTTAAATAAAATTTTGTGAGAGGCTATGGATTTGGCTTTGAGCCCAACAGACCAAACCAATATGGAGCTAAAATTGCAGGAACTGAGCTGTGGCTGGTTTTAGAAGGCCCGGTAGCTGCTGAAGTGATTAGCTGAAACAATTAACTAGTTAAGCAGTAATCAGTGGACTGGTTGTCGGATAGGCGATGGCCAATTAATGTGTTTATACCTTGCTTCCGTCTTCCCGTACAGACTGTCTGACTGTGTTATTGGTTGGAATTCACAAAACTTGTTGTTGTTTTGAGCACTGTGAGTAACTTTTGTTTTATTTTGCTCGTATCTACTGTTTAATTGATCTAAGGGGTTCTTCTTTTAACATTACCAAGATCAAACTATAATGAACAGCGCCATGGCAGATGTAATAATAGCAGCGTATATTTTTGAATATACCAGGCATTGTGCTGAGCATAAATCACCTAGCTTCAGTCAGTCCTCAGTACCCACTGGTTCTGCATCTGTGGATTTAATCAACTGTGGATTGAAAACATTTGAAAAAAACTGTGTCAGTACTGAACATGTATAGACATCTTTTCCTGTTGTTATTCCCTGAGCAATACAGTGTAATGATGACTCACGTAGCACTTACATTGTATTAGTTGTTAGAAGCCTGGAGATTATTTAAAGTGGATGGGAAGATGTGATTAAGTTATATGCAAATGCCACATCATTTTAGAGAAGAGACTTGGGTTCATGGATTTTGGCATGTGGAGGGGTCCTGCAGAACTAGCCCTCATGGATACCAAAGGATGACTATATCTCATTTAATTCTTTTTTATTTTGTTTTTTGAGACAGGGTCTCACTTTGTAATTCAGGCTGGTCTTAAACTCAATATATAGCCCAGGCTGCTGTCGAACTCAAAGTGATCCTCCTGCCTCAGTCTCCCAAGTGCTGGGATTACAGGTGTGCAATGCCCCCATGCCTGGCTTTTTATTCAGCTCTTCACACAACTCTAAGAGGTAGATATCATAGTAGTCTGCACTTTCTGCTTGGGGAAACTGAGGTGTTAGAGGTATATAAAAATTATAATGAAGCCAGGCAGGGATTATTTAGCAGTAAGTGGGCCTCTTTGGTGGTCTTGCTGGCCTGAGGTAGTTTGACCAAGGGATTCCCTGTCTTAGCCTGAGAGAAGGTAGAGTGACCCAGGGAGGGAAAACTGCAGAAAAAAGATGTCTGCAAAGATCCAGGGCAGCAGAATACAGTGCAGCAATTATAGAACTACAGTACGCTATAGCTCAGGGTTGTTCTAACTAAGAACAGTGGGACAGGAGTAGCATGGCCTGGAGTTGGGGTGAGGTGGGGGACATGGTGCTTAAAGACAGGGGCTGATGGAAGGCAGATTTCTGTTTTAGGAGGACCTCTCTGGTAGCCTTACGGAGGAAGGCGAACTGGAGACAGGACCTTCGCTGACGATGCTCTGTGCATATTTGAGAGGCAGGCTGTGTAAGCCAGGCAGCCCAGCGCAGGTACAAAGAGGGTGAGGTGAGAAACACTTAGGTGTTGACACTGCCGGTGTTCACTGTGAGAAGGGGTGTGGGCGGACAAGGAGGTGCTAGGAAAGAGATCCCAAAACTTGCTGGAATGATGGACAGTGGCCCAACTGAGAAATGAATTTTCAGCTTGTTTGAACAAATTGGTTCTGAGGGGTGTGGGGTCATCTCAGGGAAGCAGTCCCATAGGGAGTCATTTTCTCAGGCCTAGGAGGTAGGGACAGTCCCCTTTTCAGGCACGTGAGGCCTCATAGTGGGAGTTTCTTGGCCAGGTTACTGCCTTCAGAGTTCCTGCACTGCCCAATTCCTCATCTCTCTCCCGTGTAAGGAAGCTACCACAGCCAGGAGCCTTCATATATGGCCCAAAAATAAAACGTGTCCCTAGATCTGAGATCCCCAGAGATATACAGCCTTCTGACAGGGGAAGTAAGGCTTGAAACCCATGGACTGCTGCCCAGCTTTTCCTTGGAGAGCATCAGGGTCTGGCTTTGGCTCAGAAATGCTCCTCCTACCTTTTCTGGAATCTATAAGATTGGGGGAGTTGAAGGAATTGAATCAATGCCTAGCTTAAGCTTTTTTTTTTTTTTTTTTTTTTTTATAACCTGACTGCCACATCCTTCAGGAGCCGACTATCACGATTTTGGCATATCCTCTCCATTTCATCATGTACTGCTCCTGTCTTTCAGAATAAGAGTGACTTTGTTAGCCCAAACTGCCACACACTACTTAGAAAGGTATGGAGATGGCCCTAAAACTAGACAGTTCAGAAAGCATTTTCTCTGGAGAAGTGTCACTGGCTAGGAAATCAGAGCACCTGAAGTTTCACAAGGCTCGGCGGCTACCAAGTGGTGTAATACTGGGTGGGTCAAATAATTTCCACGGCTTCATTTTCCTCTTCTGTAAATGGGCAAAGGGCAGTGGCGACAGATCAGAGTTTCCACCTCCGGTATGGATGAGAATCATGGCGGTAGGTGCGCTTATTGAAACATGGATTGATGTATCTTAACCCTGGAATTCTGATCCAATAAAATTCATATTTGCAACAAGTCTTCCAGGTGCTGCTGCTGCTCCCAAGACCCTACTTTGAGAATCACTGTGTTAGATCATCCCTACATTCTTGCTACTCAATCTGTTATTCCCACGGCAGTATCATCTAGAAGCCTGTTAGAAATATAAGACGTAGGGTCCTGTCTAATCCTCCCAAAGTAGAATTTGCATAAAAACAAGATTCCCAGGTAATTTCTTTTGCACACAAAAATCTGAGAAACATGGTTCTGAATTCACTTGGTGATTTTGTAACAAAGAGAAATATTCTGCCTCTTTTTCTGTTTCCATCTACACGTACCCACCCACTCACCTATACATAGACACAGAGAAAAATCTATCTTCTTTAACTTGCAAGGCAGACTGTGGTCTTCCTAATGCCTTCAGTGTATGCATGTATGTACATGCAATCACTTAATTAAACAATGCAGCTTTGTGTGTTTTTATACATAGGGTCATAAACAGGATCAGGTTCTTGGTGACCAAAGAAACCTCAGACATCTACTCTGGCAGTCAAGAAAGGAGAAAATGAAAATAAAAAACAAGGGAAAAAACCAGGACGAAAACAAAAAAGGGGGTTGACTGGGTAGGAAGAGAAGGTGGGGGAAGGAATAGGCTCAATGGAGTCTTATTTTAGTTCTTGCAAAATTCACAATTGTTAACACCCTAAAGATTTAAGGACACCCTGGACTTTCTATTGCATATGTTTGGAGTTAAAATATGAATAACTTCAGGTTGTGGGCATAACAGAAGCAAACTAACACTTAGAGGAAAATACCATCAGAGGCTTCAGTGGGCTAGTGGTAGGTTTCTGTTTCCGTGCTTGAGGCGGAAGCCACTTTAAAAAAAAGACAGAACATGAGATAAAATGATAGTTTTTCCAGTTTTCAAAAAACGACTGACTCTCGAATTCTTTCTATAGATTGAATCATTCAAATTTAAAATGGTAAGTTTGTAAGATGGCAGTTTAGGGAGAGCCTGGACTATTGCATGCAACCTGTTAAATAAACAGCGCCAGCGTCCTTCACATCGCAGGTCATGGCCTTCTCTCCCCTTAACGTCGTGGTTTACATTTACATGGCCCTTCTCCCTGAGCACCAAGACGGTGGACAGCGCATCTTCACTCTACACACACAGAAGCCAGAGTTTTGTAGGCAGACAGTGTAGTGCAAACAGTATCTGGGAAAGGCGCCGGTGCCCCTGGCGTGACTGAGGCCTCTAAGAGGAAACACTAGCAGGACGCAGACACTGCGGGCTTGTGCTTTCGCGGGCGTGGGACCTGCTTTCAGGGGTCACCGTGGCCGGGAGGATCAGGGGATCGGGTGGGGCCGGGACTCACGCACCGGGTCTGGTGGGGGTTTTGGCAGGATGCGCCCTTGGTGGCCGCGCATTCTGGACCCGGCCGAACCTGCGGCCGTCGCCTGTGTCCCAGCGGTCCGGGCGGTGCGGCAGCAGCTCCAGGGGCCGTGGCGGGTACAGGTCTGATTCGATCACCACCTGCTGGGCAGAGGAAGGACAGTCAGTTTCTCCTCGTCCTGGGAATTCAGGACCCACCGCCCCGCGGGTAAAGCTCTGCAGATGGATCTTGGATTGAGAAGGAATGTATATAGACTTCCTTACTCCAGTGACTGCCAGCAGCCGCGAGGAAACTTCTGGAGAAAACCTGTCAGAAGTGACTTTCAGACTGCCAAGAAGTATCATCGTGCAAGCAAAGGAAGGTTCTGGGGGATTCCTCAACAGCAGTACAGGCAGGTCCCACGGCCCGATGTTCTGGTAAAAGCACAGGCTATGGCAAAGGAGGATGACCCCGAAAGCTGGGGTCTTCCGGTCTTTCAGTTAGCGGAGAACACCCCTGAGCATACGAAGGACAGCTTTTGGGGTGTTCTAGCGGAGGAAGCCTAAAGAGAGGACTGGAGCAAATGAGTCCCAGAGTTTAAAAAGAAACAAAACAAAACTGCTGCCAAACTGGAGCAGCAAGGGCTCCCGGGAGCTCCGTCTCCTCCAAGGTACCCTCTGCTGGGGTGGGGCAAGCTGGGAGATGAATCTCCGCCCTGCGCGCTTGGGTCAGCGAAATCTAGGTAAAGCAGGGCACAGCGCTGATGATTCTCGTGATGATCACCTACCAAGTGCTTATTTTAGAAAGTGTGGTAAGGGGAAATGCCCTCAGGGTCCACCAAAATGGACCTTAAAAGCTGTAATAAAATACAGGTAGCTCCCCTCTATACCTGTGGAAAGGTTTCCCAATGGCAGGTGGAAAATATATGGGAAAATATTGTGTCTACATTGAATATGTACAGACTTTTTTCTTGTTATTGACTAAACCATACCGTATAGCAACTGTTTACCAAGCATTTCATTGTTTTTGGTAATATAGGCTATCTAGAGATGGTTTAAGATCTATAGGAAGATGTGTGTGGGTTATATGCAAATATTATACCATTTTACACAAGGGACTTGAGTGTGAATTTCGGTATCCCTGTGTGCGTGCATGTGTGTGTGTGTATATGCATGTGGTCCTAAAACCAGTACCCCAAAGGGACTGATAGAAGGACTGAAGGGACTGAAGTCACTGATATTATTTAAATGTAAAAACTGGAGGCAAACAACATCAGCCATTTTATTTTAATCTGGGGAGTCATGAAAGGAATCTTAGCAGTCTGGGCTCAAAGCCTGCATATTTTACCCCTATCCAGTACACTGGGGTCATTCATGCTGAATGTCCTTCCCCCTTGAAGCTTATTAGAACCCCCAATATTCTACAACACGGTAGCTTTTCGGAGATTTGCATTTGCCCTTTTGCTTGTTCTTTCCTTCCACAGCTGTCCTGCAAGAGCGTGTTCTGTGCCAGCTCCTGAGCTCGCTACACGTCTGTTAGTTTTTAGTGCTTAGAGCCCAGCCTCAGATCCCCGCCAGTAGTCAACACATAACTGCTATGTTGCTTTTAGGGGTTCCCAAAGCAAAAATGATGGGCTTTTCAAAATATGATAGCAAGGTAGTATTTTAACTCAGTGCGGGAAAATTGGGTCTTTAATAATAAACATTGTTGGGAATAACCTAAGGTCATTGAGACAAATGGATCTGTGTTCATTTCTGGAAATGAATACCAGCTAGCTCAAAGCTGCATGTTTACAAACAGGATGTAGCTCACATTAACATTTGTTACATATAATAGGGAATTATCCCTATGTTCTTAAAACTCTTACAAACAAATAAAGTTGAAAGAAATAGAAAAATGAAGCAGAAATCTGATCTGGCAATTGATAGTAGAAATAAGAGTGGCAGATAAACATCAAAAGAGGTTGAACAACATGAATGATTAAATGAAAATTAAAACATTGATTGTTTTTTCCTCTTCTCAGATATTTAAGGAAGAAGATGATAATGCTATTTGGGGTCAGGCTGACCTGAGTTCAAACACCAGTTTTGATGCTTAGTAGTTACGTGGAAAGCGGGTATCATGCCTAGCCTTGCTGGACTGAGGCATGGTAAATGCCTGTCATTAGTAGAGATTTTAATAGCACGTCTTTCTCTCTTTTTCATGCCATATATTTACAGTATTTCAGAGTAGTTTTAAGTCTTTTGAAGGCCACATTTTTATGTCTCCCGCACAAGAAAATAAAACAATCTGACACTTTTTGCCTCAGTTTACTCCAAATATTCCTCTCGTTATAAAATTAATACATCGCAAATTTGGCCATAGGCGAGTTAGGAAATTTACTCTTCTTGGGTCCATTTTGGGACTCAGAGTCATGCATGTTTCGCCTTTGGGGAAAGCTCAGTGATTCAGGAGCACTTAAGATTCATCACGGGCGCTGAAAATCACTTTCCCCCACTCTGGGCACTGCGGAAGACGACGGATTCCTTGGGTCTCCAGCAGGCCTTTCACGCAGCCTGAGGGCTGAGCCTGTTCACCCAGGCAGGCGCTTGTGTGAGTGCATGTGTTTGTGTGTGTGCCTGTGTGCATGTGGTGTGTATGTGTGTGTGTGTGTGTGTGTGAGTGAGGTGCCCGTGGGTGATCTGCACTTACATTCTGGATAAGCCTTTCCCCTCCAGCCTCCTTTCTCCTCATGGTACTTCCCTGAGCCATTGTATCACTCAGGATACTGAAACTGTCTCTGCTAGTGGCAATGCTAAGCTCCATTGCCCTGGACTCATAGAGTGTGTGGCATAAGAGACACCTGGGAATGTGAACCTCCTGGATTGAATAGGAAGGACTTGAATCTTATTACTTGGCACTCAGAGTTCTTTGCCATTGACTTTTTTTTGAGACAGGGTCTCACTATGTAGTTCAAGCTGGCCTGAACTCACTATGTAGCCCAGGCTGGCCTTGAACTCTCAGTGATTCTCCTGCCTCAGCTTCCCGAGCACTGGGATTACAAGAGTGTGCCACCATGCCCAACTTTTGCCATTGGCTTTTACCACAGCTACTCCTGATGTTGTGATTGAACTATCAGTATTCCTCCAAGACAGGAGAAGTGAGGCCTGGTGTGGTGTTTTGTACCCATCATAGAAAGAAAAAGAAAGCAGGATGTATGTAAAAGCCTGGGGAATCCATGGGAAGATACCACTGCCTTCCACTATTCCCTCCTCTCAAAGGGAACAAATGTTCCCTTTCGGGAACAGGAAATGCCACCTCTGAAATCCTTTCCCTGCACTTGGGGGTGGGAGAGTTAAGGAAGGAGAGAGTGGGGAAGCTTCAGCTTAAAAACCCACAGAATCAATTACATCCAGACAAGAGTTTTCAAGGGCAATTGATTGCTCAGCACATTTCAAAAGACTAGGAGGAGATCACTGCACAAATTCCTCCCCTCCTTAGCTTGAAATCTGGGGACAGTGTGACATTTGCAATCTAATTTCTCCATCTTTCCTGATGACAGCTATTCTGCTTGTGTGAAGAGGCCTTGAATCACAGTGAAAGTTGGCTCCATTATGTCAAAAGTCTTAACCGATCCACTCTTTTGAGTAAGCTTATTCCCTCGAGCTACTACTATGATATCAGTGGGTGTTAGAATGATCAGGCTGTCAATAAAATAGCCTAAGTAATGAAAAGAGAAAAAAGAAAGGAAGGAAAGAAAAGGAAGAAAGGAAGAAAGAAAAGGAGGGAAAGAGAGATTGTTTAGAGAAGTGTGCTGTGCCCTAGGATAGGAAGAAAATTTCAAGAGGTGACACAGAGAAGAGAAATCCTGATATTAGAGATGGCTCAGAACAGAGAAGCATTTGTAAAGAAAAGAAGCTGACATCCATTCACATGGTAGCTCAAGGGGTTAGAGGAAATACAAACAAGAATTTCCTCCAGAGAAAGGTATAAATATTGGTATCGTTGCAAAACAAAATGCATCTTTCCAGGCAAGTTCACCAACCCAGTGGTTTACAGACCACCAAGCTAGAGAAGGTGAAAAGGAAAGTAAAAGAAAGCCGAGAGCTCGTTGCTTGGGGAAGCAAGATAGGCAAGCCATTTCCTTTTGGGATTCACTTTCCCCACCTGTACAAGGTGGGTGTCACCGTGTTACCAAGAGAGCTCTCCTAATGTGCATGTTTTGTGCAGCTGAGGCTGAGGAGGGATTGGGCAGGTGTAGCGGAGATTTAGAAAGACTTAGAGAAGAGCTCAGCAGGCCAGAGGGCTTACTGAGCCATCCCACCAGAGGAAGAGTGACTATCTGAAGACAAGCACCTCCACTGGCTCAAAGAGCTAAAACTCTGTTGAAAGTTTTCTTAAATTCTAAAATATCTACAAACATTTTCCCGTTCCGTTTTCAGGAACACCTAACCTATTGTCCCTGGAAGACCAGGACTGTTTTTCTTTTCGACTTTGGGCTTAAGTTTTCAGGGACCATAAGCTAGACCAGAATCTCATGCACTATAACCAAACTTTCCATCAATTAAAAAGCCTCCACTTGCTCATCATATAAAATGTTCTCTAAGGCATGCAATTGACAGAAAAATAGGCTAAATAGAAACCTGCAAGGAAAACATATTGAAATCATCAGTAAATCTATGAAAAGATGAAGTGTCACATTAAAAATTAAATAAATGCAAATTAAAACAATAAGATATTTTCACCTATTAGATTGTCAAAGTTTGACAACACTGATACCATAGAGTATTGGCTTGGCTATTGTGCAAAAGGTACTTTTTTGTTTTTGTCTTTTTGAGACAGGGTCTCGCTATGCAGTTCAGGCTGACTTTGAGCTCACTTTGTAGCCCAGGCTGGCCTTGAACTCACAACGATCCTCCTGCCTCAGCCTCCGGAGTGCTGGGATTACAGGAGTGCGCCACCATGCCCAGCTTGCAAAAGGTACTTTTAAACATAGTTCCTAGAAGTTTGGCAGTGGCTATAGATTTTTTTCCACTTCTTTCTACTGTCAGAAGCTGTAATTCAGTGTTTGTATTCTCTGGCCTAGCATTTCATACCGATGTATTGATCCGCAAAAGTGTGTATAAGAACATTCAAATATTTTAAAGAATATTTCTTGTGGCACTGTCTTAGTAGACAAAATGGAGAAACCACATTTATTGATGAATCTAATCTATTGGTTAAATAATGTATCTAAAATACTTCAGATTTGGTTTGGGTCAATGCATAGTTGTACATTTATACACTGGAATACTATACAGCTACCAGGAATGGGGTAGATCTATTTGCATTAATTGGCATGGAAAGATGTTCAAACTCTATTAGGTGAAAAAAGCAATTTGCAAAACAGTATATTATGAGACAATAAAGCATAACTATAGTATTTGGGAAAATTTTTAATGCAAAAAATAGCAATGTATATTGAATGCTTACTATGAATCAATCTCTCAACTAAATACTTGCCATGTGTTAAATCATTTATTCTTTCCCATAGTTCTTGAGGTATGTGCTCTTATTATCCTCATTTTAATGCTAAACAAGTTCAGTCCCAAAATAGTTAGGCAACTTGCTCAAGGTCACATAACCAGAAATTGATGGAATGGGGATCTAAATGCTGGCAGATTGACTCTAAAGTCTGTGTATCTAACCACTTTGTTCTATAGATTCTTAGGATTTTATGGTCTTAAATTTTACATCTTTAGAATGTTTGAAATTTTATAAAGGGTATGCAATGATTTGGGAATTAAAAGCATAATAAATGTATATGATGACAAATAAAATCCCATCTTGTTTCCAGGATGCTCAAAAATAATTTTTTAAAATAGCTTTTAAAAATTGAGATACTTAAAATAAACATGGTATTCTGTGAAAGTTTGTGATAGAAATAGAAACTCCAGTATCACCAAGAGGAAACAATTACAATTTCCTCTTTAAAATGAAGTGTAAAGATACATTAAAAGTTTTTACATGAAGAAGTAGGTATATAGGATGAGAAAAGCATAATATTATTAAACTTTAAAAACATGTAAAGTAAGGGACTGTATATGTTTCCAAGTAGATGGAAAAGCATAGCTGGTAGCCTCAAAATTGTTCAAGATTTCTGGCAGCATGTTGTAAAAATGTAAGCAGAAACCAGTTTTTAAAAATCATTCTTATGTTCTCCATTACGTTCTCACATAGTAGGAATGCAACTATTTGCTGAATGGATGGCTGCATAGGTGAGTGGATTAAACTGTTCTTATCCTTTCACCTATTAATTCTGCATTGAGTTCTATGCACCAATGAATTAACCCAAACAGAATTGTGTAGAAATAAATTAATTGCTGTGCTATTTATAATAGTGAAAACTGAAACAGTACAAATGCCAACAATAGGAGAACAGTTAGGTCAGGGAGATTATGTCCATGATTCTGTTCAAACAAGCAAAAAATATATATGCAAAGTGAGGTTTACCCTTTGTGCCTGGGAAAGATGGCAGAGAAGGAGGCGGCCGTTTCAGGGCTATTTGGTGGGCATTTGTCAGTTATTTTGGTTAAGTGAAGGATAAAATACAGTAGCAACCACATAGGGCATAGAAAATGCTTCTTGTTGTTGACTAGCAAGGGAGAGAGTAAAGAAACCACCCTACTTTTGTAATGGAAATCAGTCTATGGAGATTAAAATAAACTAAAGTGTCCTTACATTCTTAGTTAAGAGGTGCTGAGAGCTTTTGACTCTTCTCCTGGCTGGGCTGGTCACTGCAAAGAGAGACAAAGAAATAGTTTTAAAAAATGCCTATTAGGCTGACATAGCTATAGTAACAACACTGTTTAGATCTGGAACAGGGTAGGTGCATAGAGGAGGGAATGGGGAGAAGAGGCAGGGTCCCACTGCAGTTTAAGATGTTGCCTGGCTACAGTACCCCAAAGTTCAGAGCAGCGTTACTCACTTTAGTTCAAGCAACCCAAGTGCCCACCAAAGACGAGTGAATAAACTAATTGCAGTACATCCGTACAATGGATTCTTACTCAGCCACGAGAAGGAATGAAATCTTGATAGAATGCTACACATGAATGAGCCTTGAAAACATTGCATTGGGTGAAATAAGTGAGACATAAAAGGACTTATATTATGTAATTCCACTTATATGAGAATCCTAGTAGTCAAATTCAAAGAGATGGGAAGTAGATAATGGTCACCAGAGGCGTGGGGAATTGGAAGATATTTCTAATGGTTTCAACTGAGTCTGATGGTGTGTGCCTGTAGTCTCAGCTACCGGGGAGGCTGAGGCAGAAGGATCACTGGGCCCAAGAATTGAAGGTTAGACTGGACAACACAGTGAGACTTTGTCTCCCACCTCAAGCAAAAGAAGGTTGTCCAAAGTTTAATGGGTACAGAATTTCAGTTTAGGGTTATGAAAAAATTCTGGAGATGGATGGTGGAGATGGTTGTACAGTATGGAATGAACTGTACACTTAAAATGTTCGATTCTACATACTGCATATTTTACCACAATTAAAAAATTTAAGGAAATCAGTTTATCAGTTTTAAAAAGCAGTACTTTGTTGGAAGTGGATTTTACTGCAGGTGGAGACGTGCAGTGATCTATTTTCCACATCGCATTAGGATAAGCTACTGCAAATGGAACCCCTCCACGCTTCTGCCCTGCATAGAACTGAAGCACTTCTTATCACATATCGAATGAGTGACAAACGAGTGACACCTTTGCTATCTTCTTCAGAGCCCTGCAGTGCGGAACCCAGCTGTGTGCGGAGCCAGGGCTGCTCCCTCTACGTGGGGTGAACCCAGACTTAACCACTTGTCTGTGTGTGATAAGCAAATGACTCTCCTGAAGCCTCGCACTCCTCACGTGTGAAACAGGTGCATCTCCGTCAGAGGGTGGTGTCAAGGGTTAAATGAAGATCTTCATAGAAACCCGTGTCCAAATCTGACAAAGATAAATTCCCATGAATTAATGATGGTTATTATTTTCCCGCAAGATGAGGGCAGGAGGAGAGGACAGACGATGATGCCTGGAGATTGCAGGGTTCCTTTAGCGTTTCTTTTCCTGAAACATTCTCGATTTCCTCCTGCCGTCCTCTGATTGCCCTCACCACTCCCTCCCGTGTTCCTCTCCCCAAAAGAATTACTTTCAGTACTGTGCTATGCTCACCCTGGAGCCAAATCCACGCTAGTGTACCTCAGGAAATAACTTCTGGTATGACTTCTTACTAAAATCACAGGGTTGTTGCTATTTACTGTGAAGTGTGTCTCTAAAATGTTTTCCTTAAAGGCCTGTCTTTCTCACTAGCAAGTAAAAACACACACGTTTTCAGTTACAGACTTGATCCTGCACCTTTGAAATACTGAGGAGACACCATAGCATTTGCTGCTGCCATATTTTTGTGAGATATTAAGATATCTCAGTTAAAAATGTACATATCAGATGGAGACCAACACTACTGGAAAAAGGAGTGCAGTGAACAATAGATGCAGTGATAGCTTACACTGAGCTTTATGAGGTGATAGTTTGTCTTCTCTTTAATTTCACAGATTATAGAGGCAGCTATTCTTCCTTAATCCCACCATACCGAGGGGCTATTGAGAGGGTAGAGGAGTCACTCAGTCAGCGGTGGAACTCTTAACCGCTAGGGTACGCTGCCCTGCTGGTGAGTTAGTACTTGGGAAGGGTTGGTTGTTGCACATTAAAGACCAAGGGCTGAACCGTGTCTTTTGGGAAGGGCTCCTCTGGGGGGATACAACTCTGGTTACATCAACTCGAGTCAACTTCTGTTTCTGCAGGTCGCGCCTGTGGGGTTGACAGAAAAGGCCATCGATCTGTCATCGGCAGAGACTCAGGTCCTATTAGCATCAGCTTCTCTCACCAAAAGCCACGCCCTTGAGGGCTTGGAGCAGACAAGGAAGGCACAGCAAGAGCTGGAAAGGGGGCCTCACTTACTTTTGATCCCATGCAAGAGTGCAAATCTCCCTTTTCTAGAGGACAACTTCCTGATGGGTGAAATGCCTGTGAATACCAATGAATACTTGATTTACTACTAGGATGTAGGCATGAATGAAAATGGCAAAAAAGGAATACAGGAATAAATGTTCATCTTTGAATATATTCATTGCTTCAAATGAAGAATAAAAATAGAAATCACTTTGTAAGTGATGTATTTAATGGTGCTCACTACCTGCCAGCTACTGCTCTCGATGCTTTCTATCTTAACTCATTTATTCCACATGGTAATCCTGGGAGATAAGTCTGTTTCTCCATTTTACAGAAGTGGGAACTCAGGGCCAGGGAGGTTATCACTGTACCTTGAGGTTAGTAGAGAGAGCTTAGTACATTGTACAGAGAGGTTAGTACACTGTCAAAGGTCACACAGCACAGAAATACCAGCCAGCTCTTAATCACTTTGTTCTTGATATTTTCTCCCTTAAATATTGTTTGAAGGTACAGAAAATAGACATATTTAACATTTTCATCTTTGCTTCCAATTTATGTTTTCCTCATATAAAAAAATAAAAAGTGACAGGTAAAGTATAAGTTCCCTTTCTACCCTTTTAGAATTTGACTTTTGTCCTTCTCCAGGGTTACTGAGATCACTAATTGTATCATTCTGGTCCATGTTCACACTTTTCTCCAGACATTTAGCCATGAACAATATATACCATTATTTCATATTTCCAAATCTATAGAAATGTTATCATACATATATAATTTGTCAGCTACCTTTTTTTGTTTCTTTTTCTCACTCAACTTTCATTTATAGGGCTAGGAATGGAATTCAGATGAGATCAGGCGCATTCAGGGTGGTACGGCCATGGACCAGGGATGTAATTCAGTGGTAGAGGACTTGCCTAGTACGCATGAGGCTCTGGGTTTGATTCTCTGCATACATAATAAATACATAAATAAATAATTCACTCATGCCCATCCACGGAAATCTAGTTCACGCCTGTTGCCCACTGCAGAGCAGTGCATAGCGTGAAGGCACCATGCTCAGCTACTCCCCTCTTCACCGGTGTTCAGGTGAGTCTCAGCTTTGTCCTTTTACTTAGAGTCAATGGCACGGTTAGCATCCTCATGTGAGAGTTCCCCTGTGTTATTTACCCAAGAGTGGAACTGCTGGTCAGAGGACCAGCTTTGACTTTTAGGATCTCCAGGGAGAATTTAAACTCCTACATGTGGGCAGACATTATTCTCTCTCTGTCTCTCTGTCTCTCTCTCTTTCTCGCTCTTTTCTCTCTTTCTCTCACAGTAGATGTCGAAAACTTAATTTATGTTTTGCTGGCTCTTTGTGGCCGGGGCGAGTGAGTCCTGCCCTTCCCCCCTGAGCAAGGGCACTGTCGGTGGCTGACACAGAGAAGGAAGGAATTGTTTGAGTGGAGTCACAACACCAGCAAACACCCGGCCCACTTCATTCAAGTCTGACAATGAGACCAGGGGCGAAGCCTTAGCCAAGGGGTCTCCCAGCAAAACAGGGGCTTCGGGGCTCACAGGGGCGGCAGGAGAGAGCGCCAGCTTTGGAGGGCCCAGGGAGCTGGCCTGTAACTGGACGCTTGGACTCTGGAGAGCCCCCCACAAAGCCCTTTCCCCGACCTCACACTGAATGCGGGGACAGCGGGGCTTATAAAGTCAAGGTTCTCCTCGTCACACTTCCCGGTGATGCTGGGACCGGGTCAGGTCAGGGTTCTGGGCTTCTGGGGAGACCAGCCCTAGGGTCAGGTCACTATTTAACTGCTTGACTGGAGTTTAGGCCACTGCTGGGAGAATTTCTCACATTTCATGGCACAGTCAGAAATCATACTTCTGAGCCAGCTGATTAATGTGTCGGCGCCCACTTGCTCGTTGGGGAAATGAGAGAACCTGTCTTGCTGCCCTGGGAATTTTGTTTTCATCTCAGTTTTCCTTAACAATGACTTGCTGTCACTTTCATTCAGCCTGTTGGGCGGCCAGCGTTGAATTAAGTGAACAGCCAGCATGTAACCGCCCTCCTTTCCCCCTTGATAGATCGGTTCTGAGTGATTGATGTTTATCCTTGTGTCTTTTTCCAGAAAAAAAAAAAATAAAACAAATATCATCCAAACAGAGAACCCGTTAGACTACGGGACTTCAGGGTCTGCCACAGTAAAATAGCACGTGATTGTCTTCACCCTCCCGCCTCGGATCCACCGTAAGGGACAGCCAAGGGCAATGGTGCTCACCTTTGGAAGGAATCACGGTGGTGAAAACTTCTATATTTTCATCGCTGCAGCTGTAAATCTGATGCATCGCTTCAGCCTGCTTTTCCTCAAGCGCCTGGGAACCCGCAGCCTCTCTCCGGACCCCCTAGTCGCGAGGTCTCCTAATCCAGTCTGGCTCTGCGATCATTGTGTAGGTCCACAAAAGGCAGGCTGGGCTCCGGGCTGTGAGCTCATCTCATTCCCCAGTCTTCACTGCAACATTTTCTAATCCCATCTGTCCTTTTTTTTTTTTTTTTTTTTTTTTAAATTTTTATGAATCCTATTATTGCAAACCTTTGATTGAGCGTGGAGGCTTCCGTCCCCTCTCAGCTAGGATGCACATAACATTTTACTTCGCGGTCTGCTGCAGTGAATTTGGAAGTCTTTTGTGAAGTGACGGTGAAGTGAAATCGCCTACTCGGTTAGCACCCGGCTTGGCTGGGGAATTTCACCAAAAAGGAAACGTTGAATTTTGATACCAGTTAATTCCCCTTCTCATTTCAGAGATAAAAGGACTTTATCTCCCACCCTACCACCCCCGAACTGGATATTCGGTTGTCATGTGTTAACTTGGCTTCCTCCGAAGTTTCTATTTTAGACAAAAGGACTGTTTCTTCAGAGTATGTTTGCCTCATGCCACAGCATGACAAGGCTGACATTTCTGGAATCGTGTGTTTAGCATCTCCTTGTACAACCCTTTAGGTGCACAGAGATGTGTAACAGGCAGTGCTGCACATTTAGGAGCTCTGTTATATTTTTATTATCTTATGTATCCTAATATTTTTATCATATACATCTTATTACCATGAATGTTATATACTGTTCAACACAGCCTGTATATACTCTGTATTTTCCCGACATCCTCTCTCTTGCTCTCTCATAAGGTTATAAATGCAATGTGTGTGTATTATGTCAAGCCTACTGCTGTTATTACGCTATGACCACTTCGTCATCATCATACTAATGGTGATGTAGTGATATTAATACTGATAGTTGCCCTTTACTAAATGCACGCCATGAGCTAGGTAGTCTGATGTATAATCTCATTTAATATCTGCAACTGCCCAATGAGACTAGCTATTATTTTTGCCATGGGATAGGTAAGAAAATGGCATAAAGAGGTGAGTAACTAACTGTCCCTAGATTAAAATAAATAGTTTGTGGCACAATTAGGAAAGAAGCACCTAGCTTGATTCCAAAGCTTATGCGCTTAACCACCAGATTATACTCCTCTTCACTTGGGAAGTCTTGTCCCTGTCCACACGTGGGGGTGCCTAATCCATATTTTAGGTGTGGAGCTGGTGTTCAATGATATTTCTGTAGTAGGCAAATTTAGGGCTTTTACTCATCAGATCGTTAGCAATGTCGCATCTCATCCTCAGAGAACTGCACCAGCCACAGAAGATGGATCTGGCTTGCTCTGCCTGGATTTGCCCCTTTGGCCATACTTGATGGGACCAGGACAGGCATCTCACTCACACCACAGCCTCCCGGAAACTGAAACTGGGCTTTGGTTTCGGTCCAGAGAAAGGATGTGAACTCTGGACATCTGGGATGGTTCTCGGGGCAGTGAGGTAAATCTGAGGGGAGCCAGTAGACATACTGTATGTGGGACTGGTGGTCGGGAATGTGCTTGGGCCCTGAAGACAAACCCGGGGTAAGGACTTAACTGTGGGGAGGGCAAATGCTTACACCACGGTCTGAACTTGGTGGGCATATGGTCACACATACCCTCAAGTGAGAGCCAGGGTGAGGGTGGAGAGCCTGGGGGTGAGGGGAGTGTTGGTAGGAATGAGAGGGTAGAAGATGGAGGATTGAGATGGAGCATACCTGTAATCCCAGCCCTCTGGGAGGCTGAGGCAGGAGGATCACAAGTTTGAGCCCCACCTGGACAATTAGGGAGACTGTCTCAAAATAAAAAATTAAAAAAAGGGCTGGGGGTTTAGTTTAGTGCAAAGGTCCTGAGTTCAGTCTCCAGTACCACAATATGCAAACAACAGAGAGAAAGAGAGAGAGAGAGAGAGAAATAGAGAGGGGGGAGGCTATTAAAGACCAGCTGTTAAAAGTCACAGGTGAAGTTTCCAGGATTTGCTACTATATTGAAATTAGGAAGTCTCTGGGAATCTCCAAAGCCAGCCAGGATTATCTGGATTTAATTTCAAGGAATCCGGTTTGGACGAGGTTTTATCTAAGAAAGTCCAAACCTAAATCACACTATTTTATATTATTTCTAATTAATAAACCTGAAATATATAACTAAGTAAGTTTTATCTGTTTGAGGCTTTTAAAAAAGAACAAAAGCAATATATGATTGTTAAAAACAAATTGCAAAAATTATAAGAAGGTGTGCAGAAAAAATGAAACTGAATTTCCCCAATGCAGACTCACTTCCTAAAAGTGTAGCTTGGTAGATATATTTGCAGGTTTGTATGCTTATTCATAAATATATTTACATGTGTATATGCAGACTTTTTAAAAACAAAAGTAGAGTTATACTACATACACGTGTGTACAACATATATAGTTCTCATTCTTTAAATAGATAAGTGAAGACTTCTAAATTATAGGAATTTATGTACTCCTTTTTGATATGTCTATAGCTTATTCTATTTTTAAGAGTTATAAACAATGCTACAAAGTACATTCTTTAAAATTTTTTTTACACACATCTTGTAATATTTCTGTAGGCCGTGCTACCAGCTGTGGGACTACAGGTCATAACATATGCATGTTTAAAATTCTGAGGGATTTTTCCAAATTACCTTCCAAAAATTCTACATGAGTTAACACCTTCACCAACACTTTCATCAACAGAATATGAGAGGCTCATTCCCCATGCCCTTGGTAATCCTTGATATTTATCTTTTTTTTTTTTTTTTTTTTTTACCAAAATGATACTGTTTTGCTTTCATGCCCAGAGTTTGGAATCTTGATAATATTAGATGGTTTGGGTCCTCCTGGCCCTGGTACTTTACAATCCTTGGAGGGGGTAAATGGTTGAGTCTTCATTCTGGAATATAAACCCTATAACCCGTATGCAGTAGTAAGTATACGCCACACTCGTGATAACTAGTGGCAACCCCTAGCTAGGATGAGGCTAAACATAAGGTCAAATCTGTTTAGGTCTGGGATCATCTTCCGCTAAATTCTGGAAATTCACTGCTGAGGGTTCCACACTGTTTGCATGTAGGTGCCCTCTTACTATTAAATTTTTACATTTGGATTCTATAACTAAAGGGCAATCTGTTGATGTCAATGGAAGACTTTCTTTTCTGCAGATTGGGCAAAATCTGCAAAATTCTTGCTCCCTGTTCAGTGAATGAGAAGCAGTAAGGGGTGCATTCTCTGTGTTTCTCTCTCCAACCTGAGGTCTACAGAAATCTAGCTCACAAATGATGTGAGAAAAGCCTTTTATGAGAAAATCACATTTAGGCTAAGACCTAGGCTATACTCACACTCTAATTGTGGGGAGCTTGCTACAATTCAGATTCTGATTCCAGCAGTCTCACTTGGGGTGTTACTGATTCCAGTGTATACTTTCGAGTTAGAGCAGAGCTTATTTAAAGAAAGCAGATGTTCCTGATGAAAACACATTTCAATTATGAGGAGCTCAGGTCTTTCCCTAGACTATTTATATCCAATTACACAAAATCAATCAATCAATTCATCAATCAATCAAATTATCTAGGATCCAGGCATAGGTATTGAAAAACACTCTGGTAGTTAAAATATGCTAGGGTTGAGAGCCCTGGATGTGGCACAGGGGTTCTAAAATTGTCCCTAGGCAGTAGCCGTAGCAGCTCTCAGGAACCTTTTAAAATATGCAAATTCTCAGGCCACATCCTGCCTGCCAAATCAGAAGTTCTGGGGTGGAACCTAGCAATCATTTGAATGAGTTTTCCAGGGGATTTTGGTCCCCACTAATGAAAGGAGGAAGAGAGTTCTTAATGAATCCCTCTTCCAAGGTTAGAATCTGTGGTACATCCATTCCTGGTAGCACATTGGACCCACTGAGCTTGATAAAACATCTACATTCCTGGATATTCTTTCTGATTCAGAAATTCTGGAATTATTTCTACAATTGTGTGGCTTTAAAAGCACTCAGAGGTTGGTGATGCAGTTGCCCACTGTCTTAGTTACTTTTCTCATTGCTGAGACAAAATGCCTGATAACTAAAGTTAAAGGAGGAAAGGTTTATTTAGCTGACAGTTTGTAGAGGTTGCAGTTCGTAATGGGCTGGCTTCAAGGCAGGTGGCACAAGGCAAAGGGCAACAGTTCATGGGGGCGGAAGACAGCAAAAGCAGCAAGCGGGGATGAGACTAGCCGTTTATGTCCCTGGATACATTGTATCCAGGCTACTGGGATTAGTGCGGTGCCAAACCAATCATTGGACTGATCCAGGAATCACCCACCTTTAATCCCAGCTCCTGTACCCTAACATTGCACTAAAAATCAATTACACACTCTAGATTCAGCCATCTCCAAAAATAAAACCCTACGATAGCATGGGGCTTTGCGGGGGTGGGGGAGGGGCATCTAGACACAAACCTTAACACCCACCAGAAAAATGGCAGTTCCCAACTAGAATGATTACCTTCTGTCCGCTTCTTGCTTGTGCTATAGAGTGTATCCATTCTCCTTGCATGTATCACACCCCACAAAGAGCCAGAAACCATCCTGATGATGTCACTGTTGAACACCTGTTATGTGCTTGTAACACTCTAAACACAAGCTCTACAGCCCTGCAAGGTGAGCCTACCATAGTTTTATTATAGAAAGTCCCTAACCTGGTTCAGTCATGACTGTCAAATTCTAGGCTTCTGAACACCCTAATTCCAGTCTTTGCAGACTTAGGGGACACCAGGTTGTGGGCTTCTGAAAAGTTTGTTTTGTGAAACTGCAGATACATTTGTAATTTTAGCAGGTATGACATTTTCCTTTCAGTTCCTCTGAGAGAAAGAGAGATGGTTTTGATCTTTACCTTATGCAAGGTAGTATTTTCTGGGTGCTTAGAGGACAGGTGCTTAGAGTGCAGGGTCATCGGAAAAATGTGGAATACCCAGTTAAATTTTGCTTTATGAAAGATAGCATATAGGTTTTTAAAAATAATAAGCCTGTCCCAAATACTTCACAGGTCATATTTACACTAGATATTGTTATTCATTGAAATGTAAATCTCAGTGGGCATCCTGAATTGCTACGTACTAAATCAGGAGTGGGTGCGCTCACCCTGGGGATGAATATGCCCAACTTTCCTGTAGCCAGTGATGCTATGTGTTAGAAGGCAGGCAGGGCTTGAGCAGGAGCAGCAGAGAATTCACTAGTTGGGATTTTAATAATTGGCCTAATAAGATAGTGACTTAAAATAATATTTACAAAGATACACGCTATGCTATGATCCTTTTGCTACCTATTTTAATTGTTGCAACTCTTACGAGTAGGCCCAGTAATAGTGTCACTGTTTTACAGCTGGGGAAACTGAGGTCTCGAACAGCTTAGTGATGGGTCTAAGGCATCGTTTCTGAACTGCCACACAATCAACATTTGGGGCTGATTA